CCCGCGCCCCCTTTTCCCCCGCCCCCGCCGGCCGCCGTGACCCGGAGGAGCGCTGCACCCCTGTTCAGGGCTGTGGCCCGGTATTAAAGAGTGACCTTGGCTTAGCTATAAAAATAGATGCGGTGAGCTGCGCGGACCACGACGCACAAAGTGTCTAGTCCTTTAATGTCGGCATTCGCACAAGCCCGGTTGCACACCCCTAACGGAATTCTCCAACTCTGGGCGGGCGCTCCGGGAAGTCACCCCGGGAGGCCCAGGGGCAGGGGTGCTCAGCGTGCAGAGGCCTCCGCCCTGCCACCTCCCTGCTAGACCTCTGCCACCTAGGAGGATACCCGGGAAGAGGGAAATCGAGGTGTCCTTTCACATTATGGACAAGCCCCAGAGCTAGAACTTCCATCTTGAGATAATACAGGAATCCCTAAATTCCTGCGTTGACCTTTTACTCTTTCAGAATCTAGCACATGCAAAGGCACAAACCCTGACTCAGAAGGAAGATGGGCTTCCTCTCCTTCCTCTTCCAACTCACCCCATCCACCTGAGCGCCTGGGATCCTACTGCTCCTCTCACTCCCAAGGAAGAAAGCTAAAACAAATATTTAAAGCACGGTAATTTTCTTACAAATAACGTATACTGTGGCTTAAATATTTTTAATAAATACACCGAGAAAAAGTATTTAAGGAACTTTACGACTTTATAAACAAATGCGGGGTAGTTGTTTTCAGCTTATCAGTAAATGTGAAATTACTTATTTCCGCAGAAATATTGAGCAATCAAAATACCAATGTTTCACGAATTTATTATGACCAGAGAAAGCAAAAAATGCTTCAAAGAATATTTATTGAAACACATTTGACTTCTTTTTTAAACAAATAGCCTCTTCTGACTCCAGATCCTCATAAGAATCAACCTCACATCTGTTATTCTTAATTTGTAATAGCATTAATCTTAAGTGTTATACATCCAAATTTACCAGTTTTATGGTCCCACCACTATGGAAAGCTGTGTAGTGGACCTTCAAACTACTATAAATGAGCTACCATATGACCCAGCAATTCTATTCCTCGTAATTTACCCAACAGACACAAGCTCGTTAATTCAAAAGGATACCTGCACCCTTATGTTTATTGCAGCACTATTCACAAGCGCTAAGCTATGAAAACAACACAAATGCCAAAAAGTAGATAACTGGATCAAGAAATGGGGTATGTATACAGTGGAATATTATTCAGCAATCAGTCCTGATAATTTGCAGCAACATGGATGGGGCTATAAAGAATTGTGTTCAGTGAAATAAGCCAGAAGGAAAAGAGAAAATATTGAAGTTTCACTTATAGGAGAAATATAGGGGTAACAAATAAGGGATGAGGGGGAAATAACAATGATAATTTTTTTTTTAATTAGCAGGCAAATGTAAAATGGAGACATTCTGCCAGGGAGGTAAAGAGAGAGGAATCAAAGCAAGGGAGGGACGAGCATAAGGGACTAAGGTGATATTCACAGGTGAATTGTGGGAATTTTATGGGGAACACACCTGAAAGAAAGTCTACAAACATGTATTGTACAAAAATGAACAATGATGTAAATATCTATGTGAATTTTTTTTTAAATTACCAGTTTTAGTAGAGCTTAACAATCAGATTTAATTAACAGAATGGGCATTTTGAATAGTTGGGTTCTAGCTGCTGCTAATCATGAGTGAATGAAATTATGCAACTTTTGAATCTGTATATTTCCAGCTCTAAATAAGTAGGAGTCCCAAAGTAATCCTAAATTGCAACTTTGGGGATGGTACTCTCCTTTTTTGTTACCAGACCCTACTGGACTGGTATTGAAGACTCTGAGCTTAGTATAAAATTAGCCAGTGCAACTTGCTTATAACTGAAATGCATGAGTGTGGTTGGCATTCAGCTATTTTTTAGTAAGTACCCACTTAGGCTTAGGTGCCCTGTTTCCCAAACGTCTAGCCATTTCTGGTAGGAGCCAGAGCTATTCCCACCCCACTCCATAAGGGAGGGTCCAAAGACAGCCACCTAAGCTCCTAAACCCAACTTCCCTATGGCGGAGACCCCATCTGCTGAGAATTACTGAAGAAATGCTGTTTCTTACCTGCTTGAGGATTGTCCCTGGGCGCCACTCTGGCTTTATTCACTTTTCTCTACTTACATTGTAATGCAGCTTTGAGTGTTTAAAAATAATCACCACTTACTTCCCTCTTTGGCTGAGATATATTAAATTTTGCTTGTTTATTTATTCCTTCTATGAGCATCCACGAGCTCTTACTGGGAAAGGACTAAAAAATGAGCCTGTTGTATTAATATATGCTGTAAATCACTGCTAAAATATGTTCAAATATGCTTTGACACTTTTGTCTGAACAGTTTTGTAGAAGTAAAAGAATCATTGCTTTGGGTGTTGTTGCATATATTTGCTTTAATTATTATTTTCAGTTACAAGCAGGAGGAAGCATGTTAAGAGTCCTGATTGCAATTTTAAGTATATATTTTAAGCAGAGTGGAACCATTTTAAGAGATACTTACCATGACACAGGATTTTGGAGGCTGCTGATAAAAATGACCCCAAGAAGAGTACTTTAATTGCACTGGAAAAGTAGAATTTGTAAAGGCTAAAATAATGGCTGCCAACAAATTACCAGGCACCCTACTAACTTCTTTGTGGAAATTAACTTGTTTATTCCATATAGCCATCCTTTGATATCAATATACTAATGTTGGCTGGAATTCAACCAAGAGGAGATTCAGGCACAGAGTCAAGCTAAGTAACATGCTCCTGTCACACAACACAGCTAATAATCCCAGTAATTTGGCTCCAAAAAATACCCCTTTTACCAGTATTCTATACTTCCTTTTATATGCACAAAATCCTAGGCCATATGATTGGATTTTGCTCTTGAAAACCTAAATGATTTCTTTGTGTATTTTCTTGCATAGAGAAAGGATTACATTCTTAATTAAAAAGAAAACCTGTAAGAAATCATCAGCTATATAATAGGCTAAACTGTTATAAACTTAGTTTTTGATGAGCACATTCTTCTTTCCACATCTTTTAAGGGAAATTGCTCTCTTCAAGTTTTATTCACCCCTCCCCTTAGCATAACTACAAGTTTTATATTATTTAGTGAATGGAAGAAACACGTTTACACAGAAAGGATTCATTATGATCTCTTACCCTCTTTAAATGGGTCAGCTCAGGATCCCCTGCATAGCTGTTAAATTTATAAAATCACAGTGAACTTTTAGATCCAGAGACTTCTAGGTCTCAAACATTAGTCAGTTGGCTACCTGGTTGACTAATAACCTCGTATGTGAAAATGGGGAAGGTGGAAGGCAATTCTTCCTACTGGCAAAAAGGACTCTATGTTCTACATGCTTTATTTCTCCAGCTGCTGTAACAAATATGCCACAGGAATGCTGTTGGGATTAAAAGCAGCATTTTGATGTGGTTTTCTCTGTCGAATGCCACTACTATCTGTGGATTTCAAATGCCTAAGTCATACTATGTACTGAAGGGGAAAAAAAAAAACAGATGAACAAGAAAATAACAGGTTTGAGAATCCCAGCTCCACTTGTTTCTTCTGGTTTAGTTTGACATATTTGAGTTGGTAAAGGACAGAGTATTTGTTAGTTTTGTTTGGGTTTAAGAGTAACAACATGGTATTTTTTATATTAGTAAGCAAAAATTACATACTTCCTGGATCCATGGCTAATACTACAAGTTACCCAGTCAATATCCATTCTCCCCCTTTCTCTGATAGATTCAATATTGTTCAAGGGGGGATATACCATTTTCCTCCCCAAATTCCTCTTGCAACTGGGATAGCTATGCGATGATTTTGCAGTGAGATGTAAGAAGATAATTAGGTATGACATCCAAGAAAGCATTTGTTTTATTCTGATACAAAAGGACAGACTCAGCTCACATATACACCTTTGCCTTTTGCACTTGTACTTTATTCTTCTTCATGACTGGAAGGAGAAGTGAAGCCTGGGGAAGCACCCATCTTGTAACCATGAGATGGCCACGAGAGTGCTACTCATGTATCAAGTATGCCGGAACCAAGATAGGAACTGGGCAATGAATACATTATGGAGCAAACGCACCAATTCCAGATGCTGCCTCAGTCTTCTCTGTTACTTGCCAAAAATGCAATGCTGACTAAGATTCAAAGCTAAACATCTAGCTCTCTCCACAAGATACATAGAAAATACCCTTTACTAGTATATACACTACTCTTTTGCTGCTGTCTTAACTGTGCTTTGCAGGAATGAGTGCATTCTGTGACTTCTCTGCCTAGCAATGTGGCTAAGAAAACACACCAGTTCCTGACCACGAATGCCCTTCCTGGTGGTGCAGTGGGTTGAAACACAGCACTATGAAGCTATCCAAAGCCAATGAAGCTCAAGTTCAATTCCCGGCCAGGTTGGCGATCCACATGGCGTGGCAGACCTCTCGTGACCCACCCACTGCGCCCCTCAGCAATGTACTTCGTAGATCTGCCTGTTCTGCTCCCCACTCTGTCTCTGGTGAATCCTTTCACC